AACCAGGCTGTGTGCATGAAACCAAATAAAAGTCAATTCAAACTACAGTTGTTTATTTATCCAATGGCCGCAGTCCACGATGAACAATAATTTGAATTAAGAAAAAAAAAGAATAATCAAGTTAATTAGCAATATTACTAAAGTGTGAATACTATTTACTAATTTGCCATTCAATAAAAATGAATTGTCATCAATTCAATTGATAAAATGACCCTGTAATGAAGCGTCAACCAACAAATACAGAAATGCTATACTTTTTAAATAATTGCTATAGTCATGAACAATTTAATTTCAATGCAAAAAAAAAAAAATGTTATTGAAACTCAATAACCCAAATGAATAATAAAAAAAAAGGTATAAATAGAAAAGTTGTAAATATAAATTGAAGAGAAAATAAAAAAAATAAATGAATGAAGAATAAGTTGGAGCGGTTATTTTACACTTATGTAACCAGAACTACCAGTAGGTTGACATAAATTCATCAGGTTATGTCTAGCTAAGTTACCTATTTAATAATTCATTTGCCACACTGGGGCGAGCAATGAATTATTCCCTGAAATACCGAAAGTGATCACAGTGGTGTACAAATAGGGACAGAATGTAAATAAACAATAATAATAAATAGGTTAACTAAAACTAGTACGATACCAAAATGTTCCGGTGATAGTAGTTCATACAATTAACCAGATTAGTCCTGGCTACTGGTTGTGGTTAACTTGATTGAAGACCTGAGTAACCGTCGAATTACTTAGGCTGGTGTCTGTTAGCCTTTTAGTTCAGTTTCGGTTACAATGGAGCGTCTATTGTAGTAACCGTGAGGGAAAACTTGATGGTAAAATAAAACCCCACGTAAAAAAAACCCTGTTGGAAATAGGGTTTGTTTGCCTCGAAAATCTCTGGAAATCTGGATCGAGGATTGGATATCCTAGAGTGAGTGAGAATACTCTACTCTTTAGGGCAGCTTTTAACATTTGGAGTTGTAAAAATCCGAATTAATTGGCGAAAATTATAACACTACGAAAACGTAAGGCAAAAAGGCAACTAAATATGTTATTACTTCAATTGAGAATATAAGGTCAAAATCCCACAAGGGCGAAGACAATCTTCCAAGAGACCTTATTTCTCCAACGTCCAGATGTAAAAAGAAATGTGCTACACATTCGATTAATAGGCTAACCTAAAGGGAGGAATTCAGACTCAGAGATGATTCAGAATAACGACAAACATCAAAAATTAATCGATAGAATTTTTACTTACCAAAAATTGCACACAACAATACAAACCGAGAAAAATGACTACGGCTAATGAATAATGATATTAACAACAAATAATTATCCCATAAAACAATAATAACTTGAAGAATCCAAAATAGAGAAAGTGATCCGTTTGCAAAATTAGAGGGCTTAAAGAAGATTCGACGATACTAAAAACATTACTGATCGACCGCCGGTTGACAGAACATATTGACAATCAAAAAGTCAAAAAACCGAAAGCAAGGATAATGCATAAAATCTCAAAAGGCTATTGAACCAATGATCGACCCGGGGTTCAATAGAACTTGCACTGATATCAATAGCGCTCAATAACCGAACAGAGTAAGTACGAACGGAGTAGTTCTGTACATACACTTGAAAACGGGTCATTATGATTCCGGAACACGAAATATTTTTGACACATGAATTAATTATTTTTGTTATGAAAAACAGATGGTCGAATTTAAAATTGGAATCAAAATATTGCTTTGTTTTGATTTTGATTTTGAATTAAATCATGGATTAACAGGAACTAGTAACAAATGAAAATAGAATTTGCCCATTGAAAATTAGGAAACTTAAAGGATCTACAACCGTTGAGATTATTGATGAAATTTTATAGAGAGAAAATGTTGACAAATTTAAGGAAATCTCGAATATAAAATTGGAAGTAGGTAAGAATTAGTTATGCCATTTTGGCATGTTACAGGCGTTTGAATCTAGCTCATCGTCTCTAGGTTGAGGCGGGATTACGGTTTCGGATATGATTTCATTATATCTTTCGTTTAGAGCAAAGTCGGCAAGATCGAAGTCGGCTAGGTTTGCCATAGTGTTATCAGTATTTACATTTTCTTTGCCTTTTTTGTATTTAATCTCAATATTGAATTCTCTCAATTTCAATTTCCAACGAATAAGGCGTGAATTTGGTTCCTTTACTTTTGATAACCAGACAAGGGGGTTGTGATCGGTTTCAACAACGAATTTTTGACCATATAAATAGGGGCGGAAGTGTTTTGTAAAACCGACTATTGCCAAAAGTTCCTTTTCGATATTTCGATGGTTGAGTAGTTTCTTTCTGCGGAATTTGAGATTCTTGAATAATATGCAATAGGACGTTCGTTTTGGGAAAGTACACTACCAAGGGCTATGTTGGAGGCATCGGTGGTTAGTTCAAAGGGTTTGGTAAAATCAGGGTATTGGAGTACAGGGGAATTGGTAATTAATTCCTTACATTTCAGGAAGGCTACTTGGTATTCTTGGTTACCAATATGTTTTTCGTGACCTTTTCTTAGACACTTCGTAATTGGAAAAGTTGTTTTAGCGAAGTTTTTGATAAATCTTCTGTAATAACCAACGAGGCCTAAGAACGATTTGATTTCTTTGGTGGATTTGGGTATTGGATATCTTTGCATGGCTTCTATTTTAGAAGGATTTGATTTAATGCCTTCAGTGATTATGTGACCTAGGAAAGCTACTTCTTTGGATAGAAATTCGGATTAATCCAGCTGTACTTTGAGATTGACTTCTCGGAGTGTTTTGAAGATCTTTTTAATATGATCGATATGTTCAGGAAGGGACTTAGAAAAAATTACAACGTCATCCATATATACAAAGCAAAATTTGTATAGATACTCTCTCAAAATTTCGTCCATCATTCTCTGGAACGTGGCTGGAGCATTTTTCAAACCAAAGGGCATCCTGAGGAATTCGAAATGACCATTGTTAACTGTAAACGCGGTTTTTTCTATGGAATCAGGGCTCATTTTAATTTGGTGGAAACCTTGAGCCAGGTCGAGAGTGGTAAAATAAGTACATTTTCCAAGATTATCCAGAATTTCTTCTATTCTGGGCAAGGGGTATTTATTTTCGATAGTGGCTTCATTGAGTTCTCTGTAATCAATGACCAATCTAAATTTTTGTTTCCCAGGAGCGTCAGCCTTTTTTGGGACAATCCAAACAGGGGCAGAATAAGGAGATATAGATGGCTGAATAATTTTATTGTCCAAAAGTTTTTGAATTTGACTCTGAATTTTGGGCAGCATGGCAGCAGGATGGCGAAAAGATTTAGCATATATGGGACGGTCATTTCTAGTCCGTATATAGTGCTTCGTTTGACTAGTGAAAGATAAGTCGGAATACATAATGTCTTTGAACTCATGACACAGAGGTATTATTTTGCTATTTTCTAAATCGTTTAAATGATTTAAACGTAACTGCTTAGAAATTTCAAATGGGGTGTTGTCTGTTGGAGGGTTAGTTATTTCAAAGTGCTCTTTTGGTATAAGTCTCATTCTGTGATCAAATTTTATGTTATGTCTGGGAAGTGGATTCGGAATTTTACAAAGTCCGTTTTTGACTGTAATTAGACTATCAGGAATGACGACTTGATTATTTATCTGAGAGGAAGGTAATATAGCGTCTCCATTTTCGAGATTTACTGGAATAATTAGTGCATTGCTATTCAAGTTTTCAGTTGGTTTAGAGAGAGGTTTGTTGTAAGCAAGTGAAAATGCTACTTTTTTATTCCGTTGAAGTGTCAAGAACCCATTTAGATAATCTAGAACAGCATTTAGGTTTTTAAGATCCTTTGTTCCTAAAAGAGCATCCAAGTCGTTGTGCCAATTAAGAACACACATTTTTAGGGGTAAATTAATACCTATTTCTTGCAAAAGTGGAATGTTAATATTGGTATTTTCACGATAGGTCTTTTTGCATGCAGTTACTTCAAAAAGCTCGTAGAATAATAAATCCGGGTATAAATAGCTATATTGGGATTAATTATTGATTCGGAGGCTCCTGAATCGATCAAAATTGTAACTTGCATTTTTGGTAGAAAGAAATAAAGTAACTCGATTTTTTGAGCAATATTGTTCAAGTTAATGGGTCGGTAGAGGCTTCTTCGTGAAAATTTTGGTCTTCTGCAGTGAGAGTCTCCTGCTGGGGATTGAAAGAAGTGTCCTCTTCTTTTACATTTGGTATGTCTTGGTCATAGTAATAATCGTCATAATATTCTTCAGAGGTTTGGTCCTCTGACTGTTCATGATTTGTTTGAAGGTTGGTTAATTCTTGCGATGCAAAATTTCTAGGACCCCTAGGTTGGAAATAATTATTATAATACTGCTTATTTTGTGGTTTTTGATTTATTCGAGAAGGTCCTGCTGACTGGACGGACATTGGGGTAGGATTTCGTTACCTTTGATTCGTATTCTTTTGGGAAGCAAATGCATTTTAAGGTTTTCCAAAAACTTGGGCGTTTGTAAGAAAATATTGTTTTACTGGTCTAGGTTGTACATGAACGGGTTGAAAAGGAAAAGTTTGCTTTGAATAATTTTGCTGCTTGAATTGCTGAGCATTTTGGTTAAATGACTGCGAATTCTGATTGAAAGATTGATTATAACTCATAGATTTTCGCTGTTGATTGAAAGGTTCGCTCTTCGGAATTATATATATATATATATATATATAGCAATAAAAATAATTTCTCTACTAGAGATCTTGGTAAAAGTTGGGGCGCCGGAGCAATCCTCACCCCCATACTTCATGTTCCAAAGATTTAAAATTTTGAAAAATTCTGAACACATGTTGATGCTCTAAGGCTTACAAGATTCCCATAGAGTTCATTCTTATCTTGATTAACCTGTTTATGTATAAAACAAAAAAAAATTAAATGAAACATTTATTCTTCTTCTTACAAATACTTAACACAACAAATGAACCTTTAAAAAAAAAATTAAAATTTCCTTTCCTTCATTCATCGAAGGACTGGAATAAGTAGGTCGTTGAATCTTGGGAGTTTTCTACTGACTCTACTATTGAGTGGTTTGTCATATCATTGGTACTGATTGGTACATTAATGGAATATACTGGATGGACGTGGTTCAAAGGGAGATTCTGTTTCTTGCGTTTAAGAGCCTCCATAATCACATTTTGGATACTCGCTCTCACCCCAAGTTTTTCTATTCCTTCAAATTCGCCAAAATATGGTAACAAGCTCATTAAAAAATGATAATCCGGATTTTGTGTGGGTTCCGAACTTTTATTTTGATCACTTCTGAGCAACTCGATTTTTTGCTTTTCTATTTCTAAGTATCTGTCGATTTCGGACTGCTCTGTTGCTCTCCTTTTTCGTGTGGATTTTTGGGGATTTGCGAAAGTGTCAGTTTTTGAAGTAGGTCGAGGTTGAGAATAGATATCATTGGAATTGGAACACATTTGTTGTGTCGTAATATCATCCTGCCCTAAAGAAGAAATTGGTGACGAAACATCATTCAAGCCATCTACATCAAAATTATCATTGACTGTATTAACAGACGCACTCAAATTTCCCTGAGTAGTAGCTGGAGCTATGACACCTTTAATAAATTGCATCATGGTGAAAAAAGGCCATTTTCCTTTGTATTCCTCAGCTTCCGCCCCAGAACGGCACTCAGACAAAGTTTTCAGCTCAATTCGGAATTTGTCCTTTAGGTTCTTCCAAAAATAAATAAATTAATTGTTGTGGCTACATTTAGAAAGAAACCGAAAAATATTAGCAAAGAGAAGGTACTTTTTACACACATTTTCACATGTTGTTTCTTTCTTTCTAAGCAAATTTTTAGTTGTTTTTTTATATTTCAGGTATCTATATACGGGACTTTCCTTTAGAAATCTATTACAATAAGAATGGGAGTATCCACCCTAAGTTATATTATACACAATACATGCACTGCGGTATGGGAAGAATTAGTCGATGAGTTTATGCCAATACCAAGTCAAGAACAATTAGAAAAAGTCGCAGAAGATTTCTAAAAAAGATGGAACTTCCCTAATTGCATCGGAGCAATTGATAGTAAACACTGTCAGATCAAATGTCCTCCTGGCAGTGGATCTACATACTTTAACTATCTGAAATATTTTTCTATTTCACTGCAAGGCGTTGCCGATGCTAACAAAAAATTTATTACGATAGAAGTTGGTGCAAGAGGAAAACAAAGTGATGGGGGAGTATTTGCTTCATCAACTCTATTTAATCTTATTGGTAGTAATAATTTTAACATGCCACCACCTAAAGAATTACCAAACACTAACATAAAAGTACCCCATGTCCTCATAGGAGATGAAGCTTATCCTCTAAAACCATATTTAATGAGACCATATCCGAGTAGAAATCTAGATCCCGTAAAAGAAAATTTTAATAAACGACTTTCATCTGCTAGAAAATGTATAGAATGTACATTCGGAATATGGAGAGCAAAATGGCGCATATTAGGAAAAGATATGGATGTTCAACCGGATAAAGCTATTGCAATTATTAAATGTACATGTATATTACACAATATAGTGAGAGAAAAGGATGGAGATAAGGATCTTGATTATTTTAACATAGTAACTGGTTCTTCTAAAGCAAAAAACCGAAACAGTAACTTTCCAGCTACAAACCACGGTGGAGCACGAAGATCCACAAATGAAGCAAAAGAAATTAGGGACACGTTTGCGAATTATTTCTTACACAAGTAAAATTTTTAGGTAGTGCTGTTTTTAATATTATCACAATTCTTGTATTTTTTTAACTACTCCGGTTTATTTAACTTATTACCTATTAATATAAATAATTTAATAATTTCATAATTACCTGATACCCCTACTATTTTGGCGACCTCTTTCCAATATTTTGCCGAGATTATTCGGTTTTTATAATCTACGTGCCGATCATTCCAAAGTGCTGGACGTGTTTGAATTTCGGAAATTAACAATTCTCTGTCCATGTTTAATTTTTTAAGGCTTTTAATTCTGTGATTATACTATTTGAAAAAAAAAACTGTCAAATAGTGCGATGACGCTTAAAATTTTCAAGCAGGTTAAAACAACTAACGGTGCGGTGCGTTCCGTCGCGCAACACCGCGCCGCTCCAATGTGAACATGTTCATCTAAAATATAATGTTGAAATTATTTTTGGTCATCGCTACAGCGGCATCGCGCAACGCTCCCCGCTCGAGCGGTGTCAACATGAACGTGCACAAGTGTTCTGGATTTCCAGAAGAGGTAGGTAAAATGGTTGCAAAAGATCGCAGAACGTCTATTTTATCTGAATTAATTAGGCTATTATAAGAAAATAATTCAAGTTGCTCTTCTTCTTCCTCTGAAGATGAAGTATCAAAATTCAACTTATTATTATAACTAGATTTGTTAGTACTAGAAGATGCAAGATCTAACTCTGATAATAATTCGCTCAAATTTAAATCGGATTTATTTTTAACAGTTTCTAGTTTTTCAGCAAGTGATAATGATTTTTAATTTTTCTTAGTTTTTAAGCCTAGTCTTTTTATATTTGAACTTAAAGCGTTTTTCAAAAGTTGTTTAGGATCAGAATGATTTTTAAAAAAGGTTTATTTTAATAAGACTTAACTTACTGGTACAGTGTGTGACTAAAGACTAAACTTATTCAATATAAAAAGCTCCCATGAAATAATAAAATACACCATATTATGCTTATTCTATGATTATGCTGAGTCGTCCAATATATTCCTAGTATTGGCAGTTTACGTATCGGTTCATGTCTATAACTCAGGACTCAAATAATATTTATTTTCATTTTTTGTGTGACTATAGTGAGACGTTCTTTTTGGAAAAGACTTAATATGAGAATCAATTTGATGTAATATATTTTCAGGAATCATGTTAGGACGGTTGGCATGTTTACTACGCATATCTCTGGGAGCAGGAATATTATCTTGCAAATGTTTTACAATGAGCTCTACTCTTTTCTTACTGATATCATATAGTGAACAAAAAGCTCTTTTGTATACCTTTTGTTCTAATTTTTATACGGTATACGCAAGAACAGGAGCGTTTTGATTACCAGACTTAGGCCTCTGTCTTTCAACTTTTTTCACACTTATTTGCCCTCCAATGAAAATATCTTGCTTTTCTTTATTGCCAATTTTATTAAAAATCATTAAAATATTATGTTTACTAGGATCGTCAATTTTTTGAAAGCATTTAAATTTGCAGTTGCAGTCATTAATTACCTGTTGGTTGATACCAGACATTATGTCGACGTCACGGTGTAACTGAGTTGTAATAACGCTCGTTGCGTCGACTTTGGCTTGCAAAACATTGGAAACTTGGTACAGCGTGACATTTCGGATATATTCCACTGTGTATCGGATCTCGATACGACATAGTGTTGTTGTAAATCCCGAAAAACACTCTCGAGCTCGTCTTTTTCTTGACAGCAAACAAATAAGGCAGGCAGCAAGCCCAGCCACAGCTATTTGATTCGAATAGGCCGGCAAGTATTTCAACGGTTCATGAAACTTTTCTGAATGCAACTGATAAGAAATATCAGTGCAGAGCGTTTTCGGCCTTAGGCCATCCTCAATGCCAACCTGAAAAGTAAGGAAAATCCAACATCAGCACATGAAATGTGGGAGATGTAACCCTTGAAATTATAATAATTGGTTTTTACTCACTTCGTCAGGTGTATATAAAAGAACTTGAATTGTAAAATAACGGTGCACATGGTTACCTAAGTCACAAACTAATCAATTCCATGGATTTACTGAACAATTTAAAAAAAAAAAAAAAAATCCCGGACTTAAACGTTCTGGAGATCGAACTTTTTCATAACCTTCTCAAGGAGGAATCCTTCCTTTTAATGTTTCCTTTTTTCTTTTGAAAATAAATAAAATCAAACGCAAAAAGCAAACGTGTATTGATGTTAGGTTAGTGTTCTTTGGTTTATAACCAGGAGTGACACTTGACAGTTTGTCCAAGCATTCGAAGCGCGGGCAATTTGAAAATTTGAAAATATTAAACCCAAACAAGAGGAACTGAAGCAATTTGTCTTTAGATGCTGAGGAGCTGGACTCCTCAGTGGAGTGTCCCATGAGAATGATGCAGAAGATCCATCCTCATCATTGCTCGGTTCTTCTGATGAAAAGGAATCATTTTGTTTCGCGAATTCGAATAATTTCACCTCCTCTTCTGAAATTGCATTAAGTTTGGTATATTTTAGTGGTAAGTTTCCAAATTTTCTATCCAACATAACTTTTCGTGGTGTATAGGCTAAGGTAACATGGATTTTTGATAAATATTTTCGGATTCCCATACCTATACTCACAAGAAAGGACAGCGAAAGACAGAAACCGATTTCAATATAAAAAAATAAATAAAAAAGCATATCTGAAACACTGCTCCATCACAACAATGGCCGTTTCGATAGTGAACAAACTAGGATCCGTTAAAGTGATAATAATCGTGCATGGAATGCAGGCTATTTTCATAATTTGGTGTTTTTTTTTAAGCAAAGATAATAACGGTCATAATTGGAGGCGTATTTACTTTTGAAATCTAACCACTTACACAATTATCTCATTATAGGTATAATAATTATCTTGAAAATTATCTGCCTTTCTCATACACTCTTCGTACAATTCGGGGTACTCAATCACTTTTTCTTGGCTATTGAATATATTTAGAAGCTCATCAGGAGTTTCAAATGTGGCAATTCCTTTTACGTTTTCACTATACGATCTCTAGAATTCAAAATAGAAGAACAAATAAGTTGCTGGAAGTAAAAAACCAAAGAAAAAAAATATATAAAATTACGGCAAATAATAAAACTAATATAAATAATAATAATATTAATGAAGTACTTATGCACCCTTCAATCTTAACCAAATTTGAAAACATAGTCTTATCAAAAAACTTACCCAATGGCAAAATAGAAAATCTTCAGAGAATTTAAGACGTTTTGATGATGAGAAAGATGCCATTAAAGGTAATGTCTTATTATTTACACACATTCAACGGTTCAAATAGTTTTCCTCAATGTACGGAAATTGAACTTAATTAACGCAGCACTTAAAAAAATCCTTGTCGTAGTTTATACAATTACCTGATAATCATGAAAAAAGGTTTTCAAATAGCAATTAAAATACAAAACTAAACTGCTGGACAAATGAAGCGGAACAAGCGAATTTTTAGGTTAACTTCAAATTCCAATATTACGCGAACTAAAACAGATGTCAATAAGCGGTTTGCGAAAATGAACTTCTAAATTGCGCAAGTCACTCATTGATATCCTGTTTAGTTTGCATGATATTGGAATTCAAAGTCTAACTTAAAATTCGCTTGTTCCGCTTCATTTGTCCAGCAGTTTATTATATTATTTATTCTAAAATGTATGTCTTTCTTCCGCCTCGCTTGCGAAAATTAGAATATTTTTGTCAAAAATCTCATCCCGCCAGATTTCCTGCTACCCTTCGGGAGGAGAACCCGGAAGGCTGGTAGTTCGGATGGGGATGAAAATGTAATGTCTTATTATTAATACACATTCAACGGTTTAAATAGTTTTCCTCAATGTACGGAAATTGAACTTAATTAACGCAGCACTTAAAAAAATCCTAGTCGTTGTTTATACAATTACCTGATAATCATGAAAAAGGGTTTTTAAATAGCAATTAAAGTACAAAACTATTATATTATTTTTCTAAAATGTATAATATAAGTCTTTCTTCCGCCTGGCTTGCGAAAATTAGAATATTTTCGTCAAAAATCTCATCCCGCCAGATTTCCTGCTACCCTTCGAGACGAGAACCGGGAGGGCTGGTAGTTCGGATGGGGATGAAAATGAACTGAAAACATATCTGTAAAAATCTTAGTTACCTACAAAAGAAATCCCCAGCGACATCCCACGCAAAATTTAGAAGTTGACTGACTTTTACTAAAAACGAAACAAATTACCTTTAACTTAGAAAATCAATTTTTGTACTCACCGTTAGTGATAACCATTTTTGTAGTAAAATTGGAAAGCAACGAAGGCAAATGAAAAGTAGATACAAACTGAGTATTGGATATTTCAACATCACCCTTTATCTGATTTTCAGAAAAAAGGAATGGAAAGAAATTACTAGGCATAAATTAGACAAAATGTTTAAAAAAATTATAAAAATTAGGAAACAACCCTGTCTAAACCAACAAAAATATTTATTTGCAATGCATTTGAAGAAATTACCCCAATTATTTGAAATTATTGCTATGTTGGGTTCCACTACTCGCGCTTCAGTATTTTTTCATTAAGGTTTAAAATAAGTTGACAAAAAAATAAAAGATAAATTTGATATTGTTTTAGGAGTCGACTTGTCAGGTTGAGAGAATCAAAAAGTGATCAGAGATTTTTAGATTTCAAACGTAGGAAAGCCATCGCAAGCAAATCCTTCCTTTTAATTATTATTGATATTTTTGCAGATGTGCCAATTGCTTTTAATTTTTGGCAATGAGACATTAATTATTGCGAAAAGATTTTAGTGTTTAATTTTTAACTAAAATGTATCAAGATGATTAGGGTGTTCCTAAGAAATACTCCCTCTTTAAGTGTTTTGCTAAGTTTTGTTTTAGCAAAACACCGGTAAATTTTATTTCATTATCAATATTCAAAGTGTACAAATCATAGAAATATAACGATCAAAATAATTATATACCTAATGCTTAAATGTGTGAGCAAAGAACGATATTAGTGAAGCTTGAAATAAATAAAATTTTTAAATTAAATTTCAAAAAGTTTCTTACTTGTTGGCAAAGTTCTTGAAGAAAGGTCCGATTCGGGTGACGTGGTGGGTTCAATTTCTTTAGGAACCTCATATATTGGATTAGACGTCCAATACGTTGAATCGAAGTCAAAATGTATCGTACGCCTCTGGATAGGAAGTGGCATGGGTGGACGACCCGATATCTCTAACGCCAGAAGCAACATTAATATAGTTTATGGAGTTGTGACTATTTATGCAGATTAGAAGATTGCAGCTTCGGCAAAAAAATCGGAAAAACCAATTTATAACAGACCAGCGACATTTTTTGCAGCAACAACAAGAGCAGACGATTAGGAACACAATTGAACCAAATAGTATATTATACCATTTTAGATGATATGTGTAGAAAGGATCGTTAATTCTTCTATCCAATTCGTCATTGAATTGTAGCAATTTTTCTCGAGCATAGTGCAATTTATTTAAATTGATGTTAAGCAATCTTCAGTTAAGATGTTGATGGTGATTATATTAGCGGAGTAGATCGATTTTTGGTTACTTGTAGAAGTTAATAATGTTGAAGAGGTATAGCATTTACATTTCGGTTGTAAATAGAAAATTCCAATATTATGGAGACATCGGTGATTTGTTAGGATGTAGAGTCATTCGTTGGTACTTGAGTGATGCCAAATTCCTTGAAGAAAAAGTAACCAATGCAGTTAACACCGAGGTGGAAATAAAAAACACACGTATGTACATAGGTGTCTAATAATGGTAATTTATTGTCATAAAAAAGATTAAATTTCTTCCGATACAAAAGCATTCAGGCACACAAACGAATATTTCAATCTTTTTGATAGTGGCATATTATCGGCCAGTATGGGGTTATCAAAAGGCGCGGAGTCAAGATCCTTGCTGGTGTCAGTATGGTCGGATTCGATGTCATCAACGTCAGCATCCAATCGTCGTTTTTTACCATTATCCTGGTGTTTTTTGCTGCGGCAATGTGCGGACCAATCCGAAACCGCACAGGTTACAGGTCCATTGCATGGGCGCCAAAACAGTACTTTCATCGGGCTGAAACAAAAAAAAAAATGTTTTGGTGACTTGTGTTGTGACGCAAGAACGTAGGTATATGCGGTAGGGCAGCGAAAACAGCAGATCAGAGTAGAAACGCTACCGTTGACATATTTTTCTATTGAAGTTTCTTACAATGTTCCATTGTAAAAATAGATACAATAATCATGATAAAAAACACGAAAAACTAAACTGCAAAAATAAAAATTGGATTACGCCTGTATCTGAAGACAAGAAAACTCGCGCTATCGACGTATAACATGAGTTACAAATCAGTACGCGATGTACGATTTTTTAAAAACAAATTTATTTCACTTAAAACTATTACAATATTTTTACGTTTAAAATTTATTAAAATTCGAAGCGTCGAAAGTGAATGCAAAGCTCTGACTGACGACGCTCGGCAAGTAGAAGCTACAAAAAGAGAATACAGAATGCAAGCTAATGAAAAATAATATGCTGATTAAATAAAATATACAATGTAGAGCCGTATGTAACTCCTCCCTCATTAGATTCAACTAAACATGTTGAAGGGGTAGTTGAATAATTGGTTCTTGGATTGGGTCTTCTGGATTGGCTTCTTGAGCTCTTCGTGGTCTTCGTCTAAGTTGAGTCAGTTTCTTGTAGGTGCAGTAGCTGACGAAAATTACCATTAGTAGGTAAATGAAGATAGTCCAAATATTTGGGGCTTCGACGATTTCGGGAAACGGTGTAAAATTAAGTTGATTGTCCTTAATTTGGTTTTCGATTTTTTGGAGGTCATCTAATTTCAAGTCATCTAGATGAACACTCAAGTTAAGTGTTGGCAGTAGTAGTTCTTCTTGATTATTCAAATCAGGAAATAATATAGGCTGGGTTTTTGTTTGGCCTACGTGTGCGTTGTTTATAATCACTTCTTGATTGCTGTGATTAGTTAGTTTGCAATTTTTTGGGATTTCGGCAAAATATGTACCAAATAATTTTTGATATTCTTCTTGGTCGCTGCATTCCATTTTGACTGTTTCTTCTTTGGGAATAATTATGATCCATTTATTTGAGAGGTCCAATTGATTGACTATTGGGATCGAAATCCTAACTTCGATTTGTTGACATGATTGGACTTGGTTACTTGATTCCAATAATTGGATTGCACATGGATTTTTGGTTGTGATTTCTGTGAGATCCATTTTGTCACAGATATAGTACTGGTTCTGGATTTCCTGGCACTCCGTAGATCGATATGAGAAGTGCAATTTGTTTTTTACCAAGAATTTACTTTTTGGAATGATTGTTTTGAATTTATTTTGTTTGTAAATTGGTATTGAGTATAAATGATAATAGTCGAAATTATTTTGATAAGTGATAGGAAATCGAATTAGAAAGGTAATTTTATTGTTTAAAATAAAACTTTCTATTTTTACTAATTTCTCGTATAACAATGTATTAGCTAGAGTAACCTCTAAGGGCATACTTTTCGCATTCACAATTTTTTGGATTCTTTGCAACTCAAAATATAGATTTTCAGTTTTTATGATACTCGGATGTAGTATTTTCAGTTTCGAAAAGGTAACTGCGTTTTCTACATCTTGCAGTATTGAGTCAATGATTTCGTATAAATTAATTATTTGATTGAGAGTATCTTTAATAATATTAGCATTTTCTCGGAAAGTGCCTTTTTGTACAATTAAACTAATCTGGTTTAATTTGGATTCGAGTAAGTTCTCGTTTTTCCCAATTTGTTGAATAGTTTTATTAAATTGTTCAATCAGCTTAATCGAAATGGCATTTTCCTTTAAGGCTTTTGATTTTATTTCAATTTGATTACTCTGTAAATTTTCAATTAGTTGTTCATAACGTTCTCCATCTGATGCGTCTAGGTTACCAGTAATTGTTTTGAAAATTGATCCGACTGCATTAATAAGCCCGCGTCTTGTGCGTTGTGGGTGTGGAATTAATTCTTTTAATTTTGTTTCAACACGGTCTTGAATTAAGAATAGTATTTTTATATAATTACTAGTTTCGATCTTATATTCTGCGTGCGTATTTACGTTATCGGTCAAGTTTTTTGATTTTTCTTGAAGTTTGTTGACTTCATTTAGGATTGGATTGAGGTCATAAAAATGAATTAGCGTAAATGAATATTCTTCTAGTTTGGCTTGTCCTAATTTAATTGGCAATAGTCCAGGGTTATC